TCTGGGGTTACGGGGGGGGGCAGGCTGATACATGAACATGCGGGGCGCAGGCAGGGGGTGAGCGGCTGGGGGTGACCCCGGGGGCACAGCTGGGGGGGGGTACAGGGTGACCCATTGAACGGGGATTGGAGGGCACACACAGGCTGTGGGGGAAATTGGGTGATCCACTGAACGGGGATAGTTGGGGTTCGGGATCCCCTGAGGTGGCCTGGTGTATGCGACACAATCGAGGTACAGGGTTACGCAGTGAACGGGGATAGTTGGGGTACAGGATCCCCTGAGGTGACCTGGTGTACGCGACACAGTCGAGGTACAGGGTTACGCAGTGAACGGGGATAGTTGGGGTACGGGATCCCCTGAGGTGACCTGGTGTACGCGGCACAGTCGAGGTACAGGGTTACGCAGTGAACGGGGATAGTTGGGGTACAGGATCCCCTGAGGTGACCTGGTGTATGCGACACAATCGAGGTACAGGGTGACGCAGTGAACGGGGATAGTTGGGGTTCGGGATCCCCTGAGGTGACACGGCTTACGCAGTGCAAAGTACAGGGTGACCCATTGAACAGAGCACAGTCGGTGTGTGGGCTCCTCCGAGCTGACCTGGTGTGTGGGAGACAGTCAGAGTTCGGGCTCCCCTGGGGTGACCCAGTGTATTGGAGCATGATGGGCGTGCAAGTTGCCCGGGGGTGACCCTGCTATGATGGGCACAGCTGAGGTGGGGTACTCAGGTGGCCCTGTATACTACACAGGCCCGCCCAGCGCCGGTGACATACGGTGATTCAGGAAGCAGGCTGCCTGAGAAAGCACTGGCCCGATTCTTGGCATCCATGGTGTAAACTGACCTTGAGTAAGAGGATCTGAGCTGCTCATGGAGAGCTGCTGCCTGGCAAGGTATTTGACCCTCACTGTTCACGCTCGCTGCGCATGCTGCGTTCATGCTATGACTGGCCCGAAGAGTTGCCTGGCCACCTCCTAGGTGCTCAGTTGGGTCACACACAGCGGGTTGTTGCTCCTGGGAGCCATTCCCTCACCACAGCCTACTTCCTGCTAACGCTCCCCCAGTCCATTGGAGAGAGGATGAGTTGTCAGCCCAGGAGAACGTTTCAGATGAGATGCAGAAGGAGCTGGACTGTTACTCAGGCAGAGGTACACGGCGAGGCTGATCCAGCCAGTAGGGACTGCAAAGGAGAAGCTCTCTCGCCCAGCCTGGTCGTACTCCATAGAGAAGCAAAGGGCAGTGGGAGGAGAGTAGTGATGGCAGGGATTCAATTCAGCCGGAGCTGAGCTCTGGTAAATATTTTCAAACCCCTTGGCAGGGCAGTCTTCACGGCTGAGGATGTTAGGGAGATTCCCAAACCTGAGCCGTCCTTTGTAGGTGACAAATCTGAGGAATTGTTACAGACTGAAGTGTCACTAGAGGAGGTTTTGGAATTAATCGATAAACGTAACAGTAAGAAGTCACTGGGACCAGATGGCATTCACCCAAGAGTTCTGAAAGAACTCAAATGTGAAATTGCGGAACTATTAACTATGGTTTGTAACCTGTCCTTTAAATCAGCTTCTGTACCCAATGACTGGAAGATAACTAATGTAACGCCAATATTTAAAAAGGGCTCTAGAGGTGATCCGGCAATTACAGACTGGTAAGTCAGTACCGGGCAAATTAGTTGAAACAATAGTCAAGAATAAAATTGTCAGACACATAGAAGAACATAACTTGTTAGGCAAAAGTCAACATGGTTTCTGTAAAGGGAAATCATGTCTTACTAATCTATTAGACTTCTTTGAAGGGGTCAACAAACATGTGGACAAGGGGGTTCCAGTGGACATAGTGTACTTAGATTTCCAGACAAGGTCCCTCACCAAAGGCTCTTATGTAAATTAAGTTGTCATGGGATAAGAGGGAAGATCCTTTCATGGAACTGGTTAAAAGACAGGGAACAAAGGGTAGGAATTAATGTAAATTCTCAGAATGGAGAGGGGTAACAAGTGGTGTCCCCCAAGGGTCAGTCTTAGGACTAATCCTATTCAACTTATTCATAAATGATCTGGAGAAAGGGGTAAACAGTGAGGTGGCAAAGTTTGCAGATCATACTAAACTGCTCAAGATAGTTAAGACCAAAGCAGACTGTGAAGAACTTCAAAAAGATCTCACAAAACTAAGTGATTGGGCAACAAAATGGCAAATGAAATTTAATGTGGATAAATGTAAAGTAATGCACATTGGAAAAAATAACCCCAACTATAGGTACAATATGATGAGGGCTAATTTAGCTACAAGTCAGGAAAGAGATCTTGGAGTCATCGTGGATAGTTCTCTGAAGACATCCACGCAGTGTGCAGCAGCAGTCAAAAAAGCAAACAGGATGTTAGGAATCATTAAAAAAGGGATAGAGATTAAGACCGAGAATATCTTATTGTCCTTATATAAATCTGTACACCCACATCTTGAATACTGCGTACAGATGTGGTCTCATCTCAAAAAAGATATACTGGCATTAGAAAAAGTTCAGAAAAGGGCAACTAAAATGATTACGGGTTTTGGAATGGGTCCCATATGAGGACAGATTAAAGAGGCTAGGACTTTTCAGCTTGGAAAAGAGGAGACTAAGGGGGGATATGATAGAGGTCTATAAAATCGTGAGTGATGTAGAGAAAGTGACTAAGGAAAAGTTATTTACTTGTTCCCATAATATAAGAACTAGGGGCCACCAAATGAAATTAATGGGCAGCAGGTTTAAAACAAATAAAAGGAAGTTCTTCATACAGCACACAGTCAACCTGCGGAACTCCTTGCCTGAGGAGGTTGTGAAGGCTAGGACTATAACAGGGTTTAAAAGAGAACTAGATAAATTTATGGAGGTCAGGCCCATTAATGGCTATTAGCCAGGATGGGTAAGGAATGGTGTCCCTAGCCTCTGTTTGCCAGAGGGTGGTGATGGACGGCAGGAGAGAGATCACTTGATCATTACCTGTTAGGTTCACTCCCTCTGGGGCACCTGACATTGACCACTGTCGGTAGACAGGATGCTGGGCTGGATGGACCTTTGGTCTGACCCAGTACAGCCGTTCTTATGTTCTTACGGCAGTGAGCTGGTTTCAAAGGGTCCATGAGGCCCCATGGCTGAAGCCCGGCATGCCCCGCGAGGCAGAAACCCTTGTGCCCCTGTAGGACTGAAGCCGCAGTGGACACCCCTCCCAGGCTAAAGCCCCAAGACCCCCTGCTGCAGCTGAAGCCTGGAGCCCCAAATGTGTGTGTGTGTGTGGGGGGGGCTCTGGGAAATAATCTATGGGAATTTAAGCCCTGAGTGACCGAGCGAGCCCGTGGGAAGTTGTTCTAGGCATCCTGAGCTGCAGTGGGGAAGCCTCTGGCTTGGGGAAGGAATAAGCTGTTTGTGGCTTCAAGAAGAAATCTGCAGAATAAGGTGATGTAACGTGGCACACAGCTGGCTGGGGGCTTTATACCCCACCTTGGGAGGAAAACCAGCTGTTTGTCCTGCATTTAACTAATTAAGGATTATGCAAGACACCAGGTATCTACAGTCAGGTCATCTCTGTGCAAGTTTCCCCACGCACAGCTAGGCCCCTGCACCTGACCTGCCACCCCCTCGCACTAGGCCTGGTGTTCCACCAACACAATTATGCCTCTTAAACTTGACCCGCAGCCCAGCTACCCAACTCCTGGCTCCCCACCCGTTCTGGTACCGCACCTCAGTCCTGATCTGCTGTCCCAGCCTGCGTGTTGGTTTAGAATCCAGGTGGTTCTCAACCTATTTACCATTGTGGGCTGCATCCACACAGTATATATACGATCTGTATGGCCCTGAGGATGTCACATGGGCTGCAGGTTGAGAACCACTGGGCTAGACAAATATGCCCTGGAACCATCCACCTCATTGCACTTGTGACAACTTTTGGTCACAGAAAGCAACAGGAATCTGTGCATTACTTGAAGGGCCAGGCTGGTTTCAAGTTTTTCTCTTAGGAGGATGTTCTCATGGCCCGTGACTGGGCCATAGTTTCCTCTGTGAGGCTTGTCTGTTCCTCCCTAGGTTATCGGTGGGGTTGGGTGCAAAGTGCTTTGAGTCTGGAAAGCCACCAGGGTATGTCCTGGTGGGGGTGGTTTGGCCCTTTCTCACCCTTGCTCCGCCCTGTGTAATGTAACCCAGCCGGAGCTCAGTCTCGGGCTGGGCTTTCTATTTGGGGCTGTGTTTATTGAGAGCCCTGTTTATAGCTCGCTGCTCAGCTGCCCTTTAGCACAACGGCTGCATGGAGCACATAGGGCGAAAGCTCCTTGGGGCAGGTCTCCATCAGGCCGAAGGCTTTTCCCACGTGTGGCCCCCAACTGGAGGAACATTTGCTAGCACCTAGGTCCCTGGCTGGGCTCCCACCCCCCAACACATACACAACAGCTGCTGCACACGCAGTACGTGGCGGTTGCCAGACACAAGTTGTTGTCATTGCAAACAAGCCTTCCCGACCTCAGCCAGGCTAACAAAGCAAAAACAACAAGAGCTGCACCAGGGCCGGGGGCTGGACTTGATGCGTGCTCGAGGTCCCCCCTCGCCCC